TTATTTAGTCACAAAGTTTATTTTATGTTTTATATATGCATATATATATGTGTGTGTGTGCCTGTGTGTGGTGTAATCTACTTAACTGCGATTAATTAAGTCTGCCTATTCTATAAACAAATCCATTTAAGAAATTTTCAAAGAAGCAAACCCAATGCCACCTGAGTGATGACAATGGCCACGTCACAAGTGTGCAGAACTCTATCTTGTACAAGTAACAACAACTAATAACAATGTCGCTAACGTTCTTGTCTTCCCAAGCAACTGGGAAGCTTCAGAAAGTGATGGGAATGTCAAAGAGCTTCTCTTTTCTCGTAGGTTGTCTGGTTTTTGTAGTTCTGGTTCAGTCTCAGGATCAATCAGGTAATTTGCCAGCAAAGACTCAAACTTAAATGCACAATACTAATTAATAAGAATTAACCTTTTGCCTCTACGTTTCAGGATTCATAAGCATAGACTGTGGGGCACCTGCCAAGTCCAACTACACTGAGAAGACAACAGGCATACATTACATATCAGATGAGGAGTTCATAGACTCTGGAGTGAGTAAATCGATAACCAATGATATCCAAAGTACATATCAACGGCAAGTTTGGAACCTGAGAAGTTTTCCTCAAGGACCAAGAAACTGTTACAGAATAAACATCAAAAGTGGATCTAAATATCTGATCAGGGCTACTTTTGTGTACGGGAATTATGATGGCGGGAATGATTTACCGAGTTTTGATCTTCATCTTGGGCCTAACTTGTGGAAGACAGTGAAAATAACCAATTCATCATCTGAAGTAGTCCCTGAGATCATACATGTTCCATCATTAGATTACATTCAACTCTGTCTGGTTGACACAGGCTCTGGAACCCCATTTATCTCTGCTATAGAATTGAGGACTTTGGTGGGCAGTATTTATGATATCCACTCAGGAATCTTGTCACTTGCCCAGAGGTTGGATTTAGGCTCAACCAGCAACAAAACATACAGGTAAATCCTTTCTTTGTTTATTTTTACTTTTAAAAGAGTTGGTTCAGCTGTACTCTGAAGATTTGGTTTTTGAAAATGTTATTATGTAAACATTGTGATCTTTTACTTCATCTTTACATCAAAAATATTCTGTAAAGCTGATAAGAGAATGGCGTTGACACAGGTATAGTTATGATGCTTATGATCGAGGCTGGGGATATTTCTATCACCAAAACTGGACACAAATTAATGCTTCAATTTCTGAAAATTCCTTATTTCAAAATTATTACAATCCACCAACCATTGTTATGAGTAATGCTGCGACACCAGTAAATGAAAAATGAAAGTGCTCCAATGCAAGCACACTGGGAGCTAGAAGACGCAACAGACCAAGCGTATGTATACATGCATTTTTTAGAGCTTCAAGTTTTAGAAAAGAATCAGACAAGATCATTCAATATTACCATCAATGGTAATTTTCTTGCAAATGTTGTCCTTCCGTACCAAGTCATATCCACTGTATTCAACATCACGAGTGGAGAAAAAATTGAAATTTTGCTTCAGAAGACCGAGAATTCAACCCTTCCACCTATCCTCAATGCTCTTGAAATTTATACATTTAAAGAATTTTCGCAATCAGAAACAGAGCAAGAAGATGGTATGTTCTGCAAACATAAACTTTTACAGATGCATGTTATCTTTTTCTGTGTGATTGAGTTAGGCTACTTTTTATTTTATAGACTCAATTTCACCTAAATATTCTTCAGTTTCTTAAAGAATCTGGTCAAGAAGATATATATACATGGTACATACTAACTTGCATTTTTGAGAAATAGTTGATGCAATCACAACAATCAAGTCTTCTTATGGGGTAGCAAGAAATTGGCAAGGTGATCCATGTAGTCCTAAGGCCTACGTTTGGGAAGGTCTAAATTGTACTTATAATGGCAAGAATTCTCCTAGAATCGCAGCCCTGTAAGCTTGTTTTCCCAAAATTAATGTCATTACCATATGAAAACTTGAATGAGAACTAATAACATTGGAACTGCACATCAGGGATTTGTCTTCAAGTGGATTGAAAGGAAACATACATCCTTCCATCTCAAAGCTCACCATGCTGGAGAAGTTGTGAGTGCTTTTCATTCTGGATTGATGGGAAACACACATCCTTCCTTCCAACAACCGTTCTTTTAAGATGTTTTTATTGATTTCTTAAAGCTAGGTTCCACAAGATATACTACCTCCGGTTCTTAATATAAGACCTTGTTTGACTTTTATTTTGGTCTTGAATATAAGACCCCAATCCACTTTGTCTCTCATATTTATACATTTTTTTCCAAAGTAACCCTTCTAATAATAAGAGTTCTAGTTAATACATTTGATTAACAAGGATATTTTAGGAAAGATAATACCTATTTAGGACAAATAACTAACTCAACTTACTTCCTTAATCTCCTTAAATTAGTCAACTGGCTCTTATAATTAGGACCGGAGGTAGTATAATCTTGATCCTGAAGGGAAGAAACTTTCTTGTTTCAGGGATTTATCAAACAACAGCTTAAATGGAGCAGTGCCTAATTCTCTGGCTCAACTACAGAACCTCAAGATCTTGTAAGTAGTTTACTAATTAATTGAACAACAGTCAGATCTCATAGCTTTGAAAATGGCAAAGGATGTTGTAGCTGGATATTGCTTTTGCAGAAACCTGGAGAACAACAACTTGACAGGTAGAGTTCCCTCTAATCTGCTTGAGAAATCAAAGAAAGGTACCCTGTCGCTAAGGTATGGCTCAATTTGAAATCCTAATGTCCAAAAAAATCAGTTTTACATTGAATTTAGGACACATAGCACATGAATGTTTCTATTATATCTCTTAATCTCTATACTAGGAAAATTAACTTCTTTCTTTGCATGGGCATTTATGATGTCTAAGACAGAGCTATAGATACTAGCAATATTTATTGACAAATGATCATAATAAGTTATGCGACTCTCTATATATTAGTGTTGGACAGAATCCATATCTATGTGAATCTCCTTCGTGCAACAACAACGAAAAGAACAATGTTACTATTCCCATAGTAGTATCAATTGTTGGAGCTCTAATCCTTCTGGCAGTTGTGGCAATCATATTTTTTACCCTTAAAAGAAGACAACAAAGAGGTGAGGCTGCTGCTTATGATTCACACATATACGCAAGCACAATTTTGGTTCATCATGTGAAACACCAACCACAAGCTTTTTTATGATCTCAAATTAGGAACAGCTCCAATTGAGACCTCACAGAAAGTTGAAAAGGTTGAAGAACAAAAAGGCACATCTCTGGAGGCCATAAGCAGACAATACTCATATTCTGATGTCCACAAAATAACCAATAACTTCGGTATAATTCTCGGAAAAGGCGGCTTTGGAGCAGTTTATTTGGGTTACGTTGAGGAAACTCCTGTAGCAGTTAAAATGCTCTCTTCATCATCCGTTCAAGGTTATCAACAATTCCAAGCCGAGGTAAAAATGACAATGGACCGAAATCACATGACTTTTTAATTGAAAAGTATATGTTTTTATGTTTAAGTATGTATGTGAAATTGCTTTACAGGTTAAACTTTTAATGAGAGTTCATCACAGAAATCTTACTTCCCTTGTTGGGTATTGCAATGAAAAAACCCATAAAGGGCTCATATATGAGTATATGGCTAATGGTAACTTACAAGATTACCTTTCAGGTTTGTTAGTGCAATTCCTTTTCCAAATAGCTGATAGTCTAGAAATGGAAAACAATAAGTATAGAAAGTTAAGGAGCTTGATTTTGCAGGAAAAAGCAGCAACTCAAAGTTCTTGACTTGGGAAGACAGACTTTGTATAGCATTGGATGCGGCACTAGGTCAGAACTTGAACCAAGTTATCTGCGTCTTCAATTTTCAATCCTCAAATCCTTCTAATTCGATGTCATTTGCTGTAAATTTTGGCCCAGGGTTGGAGTATTTGCATAATGGATGTAAGCCACCTATAATCCATAGAGATGTAAAATCTTCAAACATCTTGCTGAATGAAAAATTCAAAGCAAAAATAGCTGACTTTGGCCTATCTAAAACCATCTTAACTGATGATGGAACTCATGTATCAACTGTTGTAGCAGGAACTCCTGGTTATTTAGATCCTGAGTAAGTCCTTCCAATAATCATTTTGCTTAATATTTTCTGTCTTGTGTTACGAAAGAGAAAAAATGGCAGTGAGAATAAGTTAATCTAAGCGTGTATTTGATTCATATTGAAAATCACAGTCCATTTAATGTGAAAACAAACACGCTCTAAGTTATATGTTCTTTGCCTTGTAGGTACTATATAACAAGCAGATTGACAGAGAAAAGTGATGTTTATAGCTTTGGAGTAGTTCTTTTCGAGATAATCACAAGTCAGGCAGCCATATCTAGAAACCATGAGAGAACTCACATAAGTCAATGGGTTAGCTCCATGGTTGCTAAAGGAGATATAAAGGCCGTTGTTGACTCAAGACTAAGTGGAGACTTTGATAGTAACTCCGCTTGGAGAGTTGTGGAAATGGCAATGACTTGTGTGTCTCCAAAACCCAACAACAGGCCAACCATGAGTGAGGTAGTTAATGAACTAAAGGAGTGTTTGGCAACAGAAGTAGCCAGAACCAACCACAGTAGTGGTGCAGATATGGGAGACTCAGATGAATTAGGGTCCTTGAATATGACAATAGAATCCTCTCCCTTGGTCAGGTAGTAGCTAGCTTGCCTCATAAAAGAAGTATGAAGTTATTGTGCGAGAATCTCCATATAGGGTATATATATGTGTGTGTGTATGTATATATATGTAAGGAAAAATTCTGGATGAAACCAACTAATCACATATTATATTCCTTCAGTGAATATATAGGTTCTGTCATTAAATGTTTATAATTCCCATGTCAATCTGTGTGCTGGAGAATCAGGAATTTAAATTATAATGAATATGAAAAGCAATGTATATATATTTACCTCATATATTATGTTGAAACTATTTGGATGTGGGAATGCAATGCTTGTCTACATAATTTACGTTGGTGATTTAACGTTGTTGCAACAAAAAAGCTAAATGATGCGCGTTTGTGTTATCTATCACTGTAACTGTAGATAATATTAATCCAAAAAGGGCATTAGATGAATAAAGGTTTGATACTAATAAAACGATATTTCACAGGATATGCATTTACCTATTCTTGTAGTTAGTTTTGTTCAATGACTTTGGTGTTTTGGTTAAATAATTTAGAAAAGGGAAGAATCCAAGCCATTAATGGAATTTAAATACTTTTTAAATATGATGAACTAACGAAATTGATAATCAAAATGTGGCGTTTGATAATGATTTTTTATATATGTTGAAATATCCACATTAATGAAAAGATATTCGTTGAGCATGAAAGATTAACTTTTTTTGTTTTTTGATACAGCAAGTTTAATTTTATTTACATATGTAAGCATTGGAACATAACAAAATATTAATAACGTTGAGTAGGTAAAACGAGTTAATCAACCACAAGTCATCAAGGGTCGAAGAGGTCAAATTATTATGAAAAATAGTTATATATATTAAAAATCTATTATTTGAGGACAATGAACTACTCCTTTGGTCCTAAATATAAGACTTTTTTTTTGAAGTGTGTAAAAGGGTTTTATATTTAGGACCGGAAGAGTAACTGATATTCTTTTGGTCCTTAATATAGAACCTAATTGTTGAGTTGATTTTGATCCTAAATATCAGACATATTTCTTATATATATCTATTTTTTTTCTAAATTATCCCTATTGATACTCTCTCAAACATAATCAAGTAAAAGAGGGAGGAATGATATTAAGGAAGATGATTATGGTGTTTTAGAAGAAAAAAATGTCATATTTCTTATAATTAACTAACTTATCTAATTTTCTTAATCTCATAAAATTAGTTAAATAGGTCTTATATTAAGGACAAGAAAAGTATTTTATATTACAATGACTTGCGAAGCAGGGAAGGCATGCAAATGTCAATTTTGTTTTTCATATGAAAACAAGTTTTAAATGATTTTAACAGTAAGTCGAATAGAATTGTTTCAAACGAGAGGATAACAGTGTTATAATAAAAGAGAAAATTTCAATGACTTTAGATTGATGAGATTAGGGACTTTTTCAGCTAAAGATACATGCGGATTAATTATAACAAATTTTATATTAATAATTCATTAATTTAACCACCATTACACGTATGCACATTAATTATTTTGTTTAGAATTATATGCACGGTTCCAAATATAAAACATCTGAAACAAAATTAGTTGCAGAATGGAGAGAGTAAAATCAAAGTCGCTGCAAATTTTCAATTAAACGACGATAATCAAGTTGACTAATGCATTTTATTAATCTCAGGTCAGTTTAATGTACGTAAATTGCTATCGCCTATCACTACCAATCCTATGTTTTCTCTCTGGAACCATTTGACAAATTCCTCTGAAGTTGTTGAAATTGCATGGTTTTAGTGATTAAAGAATTGCTATATTACGTACTCTGTGTGTGTGTGTAGTGTTCATACAAGCTGTTTATGCCTCTCTTAATAATTAATATATATATTATATAGTGTTCATACGATAATGCCTTCAACTTAATTTTCTTCAATAATATCACTGTCATATCAACTAAACAACGTTAAAGAGTTGGTCAAATTAAAAAAAGAAAAAGCTAAACTTAAACCGCTTAATAAAATATAAGAAAAAAACCTCTAAAAAAATTCTCATTATAAAATTTATTGTTCAAAAATACTTCCAATTTGTTTAAGAACCCATATGCAACTTATTTTGAGCAGGTGCAATCCTTCTGTTTTGCACGTAGTTGGGGGGGGGGGGGAGTTGCATCAGATGGAATAAAGTTGCACCTGTTAATGGACTTGAGTTCTTAAATGCCTTTAGCTAATAAATTTTGCAATAGTAATTTTTTTTAAGGTATACTCTTTTTAGTTCTATTTATAAGATGAGAGAGAATAATTTTTGTTGGTCGTGATTATAAGACACATAATTGATTTTTTATCATAAGTTTTTTCTTTTATCCCATTAAATATTAGTGTATTTTATTGAAATAGGAGTAATAAGTAATGCATATTTAATAAGAATAAAGTTTAAAACTTTTATATACATATATATGTTAAATTTTTAGACAAAGTTAATAAGTTTTAGGAAGAATCCCAAAAAATAAATTTGGATTTCAAAATTTTCAATCAATCTTGTTCACTACATGTCAATAACAATTGACAAATATTTAAAAAGCAAATGACAATACATTTTTGTAGTTATTTTTGATTTGGGATTTTGAAATTTTAGAGATATTTTTTAAAATTTTTCCTATGTTTTAGGACTTTTTTTATTCCGGTAAAATATGTAAAAATATGTTGGGAAGTGAATCATAAAATAGGATTAATAGAAATAGTCTTGTAACTACTTTTACTCCTCCAATCATAAATATAGGAGTTAGACAAGAAATTTACTTTAATTCTAAATATAAGATAATCCACTTTATGTTCTAAATTTATAATTTTTCATCAAAGTATCCTTACTAATTGTACATAGTAAGAGGGTTCCACATTGTGTGGGTTATGACGAAGTCTACTCCAACCTATCGCCAGGCCCGAGCCTATTTGTAAAGGATGAAGGTAAAGACAAGGTGCTCCTGGAGTTATATAAGTGTGCTTTTGAACTAGCTTGTAATAATTTGGTTTATCGTCTTGCAAGTCTGAATCTCTATAGAAACGATGCTCCTAGTCTTTTGAGGGATCATCGAAGGTTGTATTCTCAATACTTATGAATAAAAATAATTATCTTTTATTATTCGCAAATTAGTTATTTAGCTTTTAGACTTACAATGTAAAAGAGTACTACCTCCGATTCTAATTATAAAAGTTAGTTGACTAATTTGAGGAGATTAAGGAAGGAAGTTAAGTTAGTTATTTGTAATACATGTGTTGTCTTTTCTAAAATATCGTTACTAATCAAGTGTATTGACTAGAACTATCCTCGTTAGAAGGACTATCTTAGAAAAAAATATATAAATATTAGAGACAAAGTAGATTGGGGTCTTATATTTAGTACCAAAATAAAAGTCAAACGAGATCTTATATTAAAAACTGGATGTAGTATTAATTTAATCAAAGACACTTACTTGATGCATCCACAATGCCTTTTTGCTTGGAGCAAAAGGCTATGACTAGGGCGTTCAGAGATAAGGGAGAGCACCTAATAGAGAGGATAATAAATACTCCTCTGGTCCTTATTATAAGACCTCATTTGACTTTTTATTTGGTCTTAATTATAAGACCCCAATCCATTTTATCTCTTATATTTATGCATTTTTTTCCAAGATAATCCTTCTAATAATGATAGTTTTAGCCAATATACTTAATTAGCAAGGATATTTTAGGAATGACAACACTTATTTATTATAAATAACCAACTTAACTTACTTCCTTAATCTCCTCAAATAAGTCAATTGGGTCTTATAATTAGGACCGGAGGAGTATTTTGTTTGTCTTCCTGCGAGTGATTCAGACTATACCTATTCTTATAGACAAATTTATTTTAAGATTTACTTAAAGAAATCAACCTTAAGGCACGAGGGTGATGACATTGACCACGTCACAAGGGGGCAGAACTTCTTGTATAAGTAATAACAACGTCGCTCACGTTCTTGTCTTCCTAAGCAGAGAGTGATGGGATTGTCAAAGAGCTTCATCTCTTTCCTCCTGCTGGTTTTTGCAGTTCTGGTTCAATCTCAGGCTCAATCAGGTAACTTGCCGCCAAAAACTCAAACTTTAATACCTGAACCATTTTAGTGACAATTAACGTTTGCCTCCATGTTTCAGGATTCATAAGCATAGATTGTGGGGCACCTGCAAAGTCCACCTACTTTGAGGAGACAACAGGCATATATTATATATCAGATGAGAAGTTCATAGAATCTGGAGTGAGTAACGCCATAACCACTGAGCTCCAAAGTAGGCTTCAACGGCAAGCTTGGAACCTAAGGAGCTTTCCTCAGGGAACAAGAAACTGTTACAGAATAAGCATCACAAGTGGCTCTAAATATCTGATCAGGGCCTTTTTTCTGTATGGAAATTATGATGGCCAGAATGTGTTGCCAACTTTTGATCTTCATCTTGGGCCTAACTTTTGGGAAACAGTAAAAATAACCAATGCATCTGTGCCGTTACTGCCTGAGATCATACATGTTGCATCACAAGATTACATTCAAATCTGTCTGGTTGACACGGGCTCTGGAACGCCATTCATCTCTGCTATAGAATTAAGGGCCTTGGTTATGGTGAATGGTGTTTATAATACTCAGTTTGGATCCTTGTCACTTCATTTGAGGTTAGATTTAGGCTCAACCAGCAACAAAACATACAGGTAAATCCTTTCTTTATATGTATCACTGTTGTGTTTTGAACTTTCAAAAGAGTTCATTGAGTCATACTGTTAAAATCTGGTTTAATTGATCTCTAACATCAGTTTTCCGCATAAACGATAGTCTTTTAAGTAAAAATAAGCAACTAATATTCTTTCATAACCAAAAAATAGGCTCCAAATCAATTGACCAGCTTTTACATTGAATTGAAGAAGGTTTCTCTTTGGTTTGCTTGGTTTAACATTTGCAAAAGTGACTTCTATCCTAACCATATTTTGGAAACTGAATTTGGAGTAAAAATTAGTATAATGAGTTTATGTTTAAAACTCATTTAAAAGATATTTCAAAAAATCAATTTCAGAAGTTCTAAATATGAAGACAAGTCAAAAGACAACTTCAGTACAAACTGATTTTGACTTTAATTTGGTTTTTAGCCAAAAAGTTATTGGTTCAGGGCTCCAAAAAGCTATTTCAGTTTCTGATGTAGCTTTTGAGGGCCTGAACGTCATGGCAAGCAACACTAAACTTGTGATCTTTTACTTTAGGTGTGTTTGGGTGACATCCCAAACCATGGTTTGGAGATTAAGTCACCCAAACACCCATTCAAAAACCAAAACCATGGTTTTGGCTCTAAAACTATGGTTTTGGAAAAAGCAAAAATTTTTTGCTTTTGGAGAAAAAAGAAAGAGTGTGAGAACTTATAAGATATGTATCTTGTTATTTTTTTAATAAACATTTTTTATAAACATATTTAATATTATATTTTATAAATATATATACATATTAATTATTTATTAATTATATTATCTTATGTATTATTAATTATGTTGGTAAAAAATATATTATTAACAATTTTATTCCTTCAAATTAAAATATATCATAAAATCTATTTTTCTGTAATTTTCATATTAACTTATATCTTTTTTTTAATAATTTGTATATATAAAAAGTGCTTTTGATAACAACTATCTAAACACTCTCACTTCTCAGAATCACTATTTTACAAAATCTATTCTTCACGGAATCTATTCTCCTTAAATCTATTTTTCAGAATCACTTTTCCAAACTACGGTTTGGCTTCATCCAAACACATTTTACATAGAAAATATTAAGTACTGATCTGTAAGGCTGACGATAAGTGAATGACTTTGACACAGGTATAGATATGATGCTTATGATCGCATTTGGCTATATGTCTACCACCAAGATTGGACGCAAATAAATGCTTCAATTTCTGAAGAATCCTTAACTCAAAATGTTTTCAAACCACCAGCCATTGTTATGAGAAATGCAGCCACGCCAATAAATGGAAGTGCTCCAATGAAAATAGAATGGGAGCCAGAAGACGCAACAGACCAATTCTTTGTTTACATGCATTTTTCAGAGCTTCAAGTATTAGAAAAGAATCAGACAAGATCAATCACTGTTACCATCAATGGCGAACCCTATTTTATCGTCGAACCTAATTACCGACTCACAAACACTATGACACACCCCGAATCTATCAGTGGAGAAAAAATTCAGATTTGGCTTCAGAAGACTGAGAATTCAAACCTCCCTCCCATTCTCAACGCTATTGAAATTTATAGGGTTAGAGAATTTTCCCAGTCAGAAACAGATCAAAGAGATGGTATGTTGTGCAAATATAAACTCTTGAAAGAAATATTTGATAGAATCAAGAATAGACATGTTGGATATGCATATTATCTGTTTCTTCGTGATTGTGTTAGACTACTTTTTATTTTATAGACAGAATTTCACCCAAAAAAATTTAGTTTTTCAAAGAATCTGGTCAAGAAGATATATACATGGTATAGACTAACTTGGATTTTTGAGAAACAGTTGATGCGATCGCAACAATCAAGTCTTCTTATGGGGTGACAAGAAACTGGCAAGGAGATCCATGTAGTCCAGTGGCCTATATATGGGAAGGTCTAAATTGTACTTCTAATCGCCAGAATTCCTCTAGAATCACAGCACTGTAAGCTTGTTTTGAAAATTTATGTTATTACTGTATGAAACTTGAATAAGAAGTTCTAATAATATTGGAAATGCAAATTAGGAATTTGTCTTCAAGTGGATTGACAGGACAGATAGATCCTTCCATCGCAAATCTCACCATGTTGGAGAAGTTGTGAGTACCTTTTACTCTGACTTGGACTAATGTTATGAGTCTTATATCGGGAATCCTCACAAGTGAAGTATAGTTTATAAGTTTAAGGGGAACAGACAAGTCTTTTGAGATGGGCTCTCTTTTTTGAACTTATGCTCAGAACATCCAATGACCCTTAGCTTCTTTTAAAATGTTGTCATTGATTTCTTGAAGGTATTTTGTAAGATATATAATCTTGATCATTAAAGGTAGAAAATTTCTTGTTTCAGGGATTTATCAAACAATAGCTTAAGTGGAGTAGTGCCTAATTTTCTGTCTCAACTGCAGAACCTAAAGAGCTTGTAAGATTTTTCGTTAATTAAATGAACAACAAATAGATCTTAATCATACCTTTGAAAATGGAAAAGGATGTTGTAGCTGGATTGCTTTTGCAGAAACTTGAAGAGCAACAATTTCACAGGTACAGTTCCCTCTGATCTGCTTGAAAAATCAAAGGAAGGTACGCTGTTGCTAAGGTATGGCTCTTATATATTGAAATCCTAATGTCCAATATATTATTCGTTCTTACATGAATTTAATTAGAACACATAACACACGAATTCATATTGAACACAGGGTGCTCAATGCCCAAGACATTTGTTGATGTCTAACATAGAGCTATAGCGTACTTGAAAGAATTAACGACAAATGAACATAATTACTTCTCTGACTCTCCATGTTAGTGTTGGACAAAATCCAAATCTATGTGAATCTCCTTCGTGCAACAAAAAAGAGAACAATGTTACCATTCCCATAGTGGCATCAGGTGCTGGGGTTCTGATCCTTCTGATAGCTGTGACGATCACATTTGTTATTCTTAAAAGGAGAAAACCTAGAGGTGAGGCTGCTATATGTATACACACACACACACACATCATTCATACACACACGCAGACACAGTTTTGGTTGACCAGTTGGAAGAACCAACAAAAGGCTTTTTTATGATCTAAAATTAGAAATAGGCGCACTTGAGACCTCAGAGCGAGTTGACAAAGTTGATGAACAAAAGGACACACCTCTGCAAATCATCAATAGGCAATATTCATATTCTGATGTCCTCAAAATGAGCAATAACTTTAGCACGGTTCTTGGAAAAGGTGGGTTTGGAACAGTTTATTTGGGTTACATTGATGAAACTCCAGTGGCAGTTAAAATGCTCTCCTCGTCATCGGTACAAGGTTATCAACAATTCCAAGCCGAGGTAAAAATGAACGATGGACCCAGATCACACGAGTTTTCAATCTAGAAGTTTGCCGTTATGTTAAGCATGGATATGAAATTGCTTTTCAGGTTAAACTCTTATTGAGAGTTCATCACAGAAATCTGACTTCCCTTATTGGGTATTGCAATGAGGAAACTAGTAAGGGGCTCATATATGAGTACATGGCTAATGGTAACTTACAAGAGTACCTTTCAGGTTTGTTAGAGCAAATTCTTTTTCAAATGACTAATGGTCCAGAAATGGAAAACAGTAAGTATAGAAAGTGAAGAAGTTTGATTCTGTCAGGAAGAAGAAACGATTCAAAGTTCTCGACTTGGGAAGACAGACTTTATATAGCACTAGATGCAGCACTAGGTTAGAACATCAACCAAGTTACTTGTGTCTTCAAACTTCACAGCTCAAATCTTTCTAATTCAATGTTAATTTGCTATAAATTTTTGCCTAGGGTTGGAGTATCTGCATTATGGATGTAAGCCACCTATAATCCACAGAGACGTAAAATCTTCAAACATCTTGCTGAATGAAAAATTCAAAGCAAAAATAGCCGACTTTGGTCTATCTAAAATCATCCCAACTGATGATGGAACTCATGTGTCAACTGTTGTTGCGGGTACTCCTGGTTATCTAGACCCCGAGTAAGTCCTTCCAATAATTATTTTGCTTAATCTTTTTTGTTCTTGGGTTATAAAAAGATAAATGATGATGAGAATGAGTTATCCTGAGTCCATTTTTGTTTCACATTGGAAACGATGAAAATGCATTGGTTTTGGCGGTTTCCAACATAAAAACAAACATGTTGTAAGTTATTTATTGTTCTTTGTCTCATAGGTACTTTATAACGAACAAATTGATAGACAAAAGTGATGTTCATAGCTTTGGAGTAGTTCTTTTCGAGATAATCACAAGTCTACCAACCATATCAAGAAACCATGAGAAAACTCACATAAGTGATTGGGTTAGCTCCATGGTTGCTAAAGGGGATATAAATGCCATTGTTGACTCAAGGTTAAGTGGAGAATTTGATAGCAACTCTGCTTGGAGAGCTGTGGAAATTGCAATGACTTGTGTATCTCCAAACCCAAACAACAGGCCAACCATGAGTGGGGTAGTGAAAGAGCTAAAAGGGTGTTTGGCAACAGAATTAGCCAGAATCCAACGTAATGGTGCTAATGCAAGAGAGCCAGCTGAATTAGTGTCCATGAATATGATGAGTTCTACAGAATTCTCTCTCTCAGGTCGGTAGGAGCTTGCCTCATACAAAAATAATGAAGTTACTGTGAAACTCTGCAAGAAAGACATATGTGAGGAAGGACAAATCAAGCTTGTCAAAAGTAGCCATAGTTATGTTAATTTACTATGTATGCTTATATTATACCACCCTAGCCCTAAATATACAAATTAAATCTTATATTTAGAATTGAAAGTAGTAGCTTTTGTTGGGGAGTCATTAAAATCATCCATTTATGCTGTGTTTAGAGTTTCTATGTTGTAGTCTTTGCTCTTTAACCGAAGTTATGCTTTTCCTTATAGTATATGAAAAAAATCATCCATTTATAAGAGAAATCCTCATTATATTATTTACAAGAAAAATTTCATGATTTACAAGGTAACCTTTCAGGTTTACAAGTAAACCCGTGAGGTTTACGAGTCAACATTTTTAATTTATAGGTCCACATGTTGAAAATATTAAATTACAAGCCAATTTCTTGGATTTACAAGTCTTTCTCTAAAATTTACAAGCCACATTTCAAATTAAAATTTACTACAGTACTAGTTAATAACGACAAAAAATAGGTTGACTTGTATAGATATTATCCTGTAATTTAATATTCTACTAGGTTGGCTTGTAAATTTAAGTGGTTAACAAAAATATGAAAATTTTAGTTGTAAGAGCTCACCTTTACCTTTAAAACGGGATGAAGTTTCACTTATAACTAGCAAATATTAAAGCAAGCTGATAAGCTTTACTTGTAAATCATGAATATAGCTTTACGGATAAATTGATGACAGTTCACGTATGTATATTAAAATATCAATATTTTAGTAAAAATATTTTTTGATTGAAAAGTCAAAATAAAATTTTTCTTACATATTTAATTTGTATTTTATAAATTATTTTGAAAAATTAAATCTCGTCCACTCACTATACTGATACTTAAATCCAAAACCTTACTAATAATTCTTTGGTTGCGAGTGCCAGAGCTTTGGTCACTGGCCGTAAAGAGCATTAGGGTATTAAGGTCATGTTAAATTTTTTTTTTTTCAAATTTATGAAAGAAGTTCCTAAAGACCTCACATCATGAAATCATTTCATCATTCTCCTATTTTGATAATCCTTATAATATATCAACCACCCATTTAAAATTAAAAGAGCTTAAGTGGCCCAACCCTAATTAACTGCTATATTTCTCAGTTTGCAAACCGGACCACAACTGAATATTCCCTTAATTATGAGAACTAGGAGGGGTCCTTATGTTAATTGACTCAGCTAAATAACTCTCATTTTTATGACTTATGAAATAGTACATGTTTTTTTCCCCATTGAATACTACATGTTAAAGGAGAGCTTCTACAATATACTCCTCTAGATCTTAATATAGAACTTAATTATTGAGTTAATCTTGATCCTAAATGTAAGATATATTTCTCATACTTATCAATTTTTTCTAAATTATCCCTATTATACTCCATCAACCATAATCAAATAAGAGAGAAAAGGAGGATATTAAAGAAGATAAATATGGTGTTTCAAGAAAAAATGTCATATTTTTTATAATTAACTAATTAAATTAATTTTCTTAATCTAATCAAATTAATTAAATAGATCTTACATTAAGAACTAATGAAATAATAGATATAGCGGATATAGTCAAATATACACAAAACTGATACTTAAATTTATTATATGATTTTCCTATCAGGGGATGCTAGATTTACATTACACTAACTACTTTGAAAATTAAACTAATTGTTTTGTAAATAGAGTAATAAATTTTTAGTCCTTGAAACAGAGTTTTTGAAATAGAGAAAAACTACTCTGGTAAAAAAAAAAAGAAGCAAAACTACTGTTTCAAATTTTAAGAACCAAATCAAAATGAAGTCAAATTTTAAATATTAAATGTGACATTAACCTTGAATTTATTAGACATATTGCTGCATATTGTGACGTATGCCATTTTATTATTGAGTATAAAATAGCGCCAGCGTAATTAACTAAGAAAACTTATATCCTTGCTATAAGCTGCTGTTCGGCTTAAGGAAACTTAGCCCGCGGAAAGGGAAAGGGCTTCTTGTCCGTTGATCGATCTGTTCGGCTGAATCTGAAAATGTATTTTCCACCCTCCGCAGACCGCAGGAAAGTCATCTGCCCTGAAACTAAGCATGCTCTAACGCCGGAAAGGCATGTAAAATGTCTCAAGTCATGGAGGTCAATTACAATAACATTTATAGTTATTTTTTTTTGCCTGAAATATAATTAATATAAATGTGTGTATGCATATATTCCTCTTATTTGTGAGAGCTATTTAACTAATTTAAAAAAATTAATAAATATGATATTATTATCTTCCTAAAATATTTCAATGTAATATTAGTTTATAAGTTAGATAAGTTAATTTGAAACATAGTGATGAATTTAAAAGATAAAATATATTAATGTTTTATATTTATGACCAAAACTAATTGCACTAACTCTTAATATATAATATGTGTATGGACGAAACTATATATATATAGATTAAAGTACATATTTGATCTTTTAATTTTATACAAAATTTTAATTTAATCCCTTAACTTTAAATATTATATTTTTAGTTTTTTAATCCTAAAATTATTAATAAAAAAGATGGCATTGAAATTGTATATGTTGATAAAATATTTTTAAATATTAACGTAAAGTTTAATTCTCAAAACAACGGTGATAGTTATAAAAAAAATCATTTAAACCTAATGGTTTTAAAGTTAAATGATCAAAAATATACTTTTGAAAGTTAAAAGATCAAATGAAAATATTGTATAAAGTTAAATTAAAAGATCAAATATATACTTTAATTTATATATATAATCCATTTCAATTCAATTTTAATTTTAATTTTACGAAATTTTAGGTGAACCATATCATTAAATTTATAGAGTCATCAAATTCAATCAATTTTTTGATGGCAAGAAAAAAACAAAAATTCAATCAATGTTCTCTTCCAACGGCCCTTGGAAATATTCATCTGAACGAGGGAACATAATGTGACTTTTTTCATTTCTTTGTTATTATTTAAAATTATCATTAACTAGATCATTAATTTAGTAATTGCTCATAATGATTACTAAAAAAATTATTTCAAAGAAATTATTATTAATAATAAAAAGGTTAGAACAAATTTAATTATACTTTATTATAAAAATTAAATTAAATTTAGACTTTAGAGCGATGAATTTTCTTTTTTCCCCCCTCCCCTCACTAATACTCATCTTGAGACGACCTTCTTGTTCAAATTCCTCATCATCAACTTGAATATTCTTCTTCATCTTCTGATTCTTTTATAGGACCTAACTTTGCAAGACGACTCCGCTAGTTGGCCTTCAAATTAGTTTTATTAAGGACCTTGTCAGATCAAATCATTAATTCTGATTGCAAACCTTCAATTATTGAACATTGAAGATCACTTGGAAATAGTATAATTTTTAAATGAGTTATTTGACTAGCTTTTCTAAAAGAATCATAACTAATTTAATTCATTTTCTTAATTGTTTAAAATTGGTTAAAAGAATTGTATATATAGGACGTGTGAATTCTTTAAACTGTTTTTTTTTTGGGGGGGGGGATTGAAAGGCTATGTATGTCTAGGCCACTCGAACAAGGGACAACTAGACAGAGAGGACGATCGATATTCTATTTGTAATATCCTACTGTCTCCTATGCTTAATATAAGAGTTGACTAACTAATTTGAGAAGATTAAATAAGTTAGGTAAGTTGATTGTTTGTAATAAATAAATATTATCTTTTATAAAATATCCTTATCAATCAAGTATACTAGCTAGAATTACGAAACTTTTAACATGTATAACTACTATAAGGATTACTTTAAAGAAAAAAGATAAATATGAGAGACAACGTGGATTGGGATCTTGTATTTAGCATCAAATTGAATACCAAAATAGCTTTTATATTAAGGATAAGAAGCAGTATATATAGGATCAACATTAACTCTCAAATTAGATTTAGATTAAGGACATGAGGAGTATAAGGAAAAAAAATTCAATATCAAGCATACGAAAACTGCTTTGTTGGTAAAAATTAATTTGCAGATTGTTAAAAGTCTTTATAACCAAATGGTTGGAAAGCTTTCCTTTTTAAGTGGGAGTTCAATTGCATGTTCGTTACCTTTTGTAACCTTAAGTCATTAGTATCTGCATCTTGAAATGAAAAAAATTGCAGATTCAGCTGCTTCCAATTCAAGTTTTGACTTTTGAGCAATGAATCTTATAGGGCCCTTGGTCAGTACATCATCTCAAGTCACAACATTGATCAGCACGTCTACCTAATGAAGTTCGTCTCTTTTGCAAGAATCTCATGGGTTGACTTTTCCATGAGAGAGAGAGAGAGAGAGAGAGAGAGATCTAAATATAAGATTCTTATTTTATGATGAATAAATGTCTCAGGAAATTAAAGTCAGAAGTTTATCAGATAATTGATTGTTCTTACCCTAGCACCTTAATTAAGCGGCAAGATCATGGCCAAACACATCATGGGACTCTCCAATAAATCATCCAGAAATTTATGTAGTCAAAATCAGACAATAACCCAAAAAAAAAAAAAAAGTGCAAAACAAATCTATGGCAGGAAACTTTCAGAATCTCAATTTGAAAGTACTCTTGATGAAAAAGGTGAAATAAGATGAAAAATATGGTTGAGCAAATTCTTAAAGTACATGATATAGGAGCTGCAAACAGAGGAACAAGGAAATGAGGATGTTCATAATCCATCCCTTCAGCAAACTACGCAATTTATGAGGCTACAATGTAATAATGAAATCAATTTGGCATACGACCTCTTTGTATTTTGGGAAAGAATCCACGGAGGAATACAATTCTTTCACACAACAAACTTCTATTGAAATTCCCGTTGTGCAACTGTCATATTATGTATTGAAACATAACTCAGTTTTTGAGGTGTATGTAACTCTGCATTGATAAAAAAGATATACTCCTCCTGTTCTTAATATAAGACTTAATTATTGAGTTAATTT